ACATCTGAGCCGCTGAAGACGCAGTGGATTACATTGTTTCTGAAGGGAATGTGCCCCCGATCTACATAAATGCGTCTATGTTCACGAGAATCATTCGTGATCCAGCCTCATCTACAGACGAAGTGAGTATAATGTTTTGTAATGAATCTTTGCAAATTGCCTTTCCTAATAATGTGCTAATTAGCAAGTTTCAAGATGAATGCGGCTAAAGTAAACAGTCTCTCTTAGAGCAGCTGGGAAGAGAGGGGCGGGGTCAGCAGAGCTCATTAACATTTAAAGAAAATAGCTACAAAATGGCTTGATCTGAAGAGAGCTGTTTTTGACAGGGTAAAAGGTGTTTTTTACACTACCATTGAGAAATTTTAACCAAACTATGTTACAGACTTTTCATTAAGACCCTAAAGAATCATATCAACTTGTGGAAAATAGGCATCCTATGACCCCTTTAAGAATAACAATGAATCCATCTTTTGTTTTAGTCTTAAAAAGTGAAAGGTGTATAGATGTAAGCAAAACAGACAATTATCTTTTCTTGTAAAACCTTAAAAGATCGTGAATTAAGTAAAAACATCCGTAGCCCACGGCTTATAACATGGCAAAAGAGAAACACCCGTTCACAAAATTAAAATCACAAATAATACTACTGATGAAAAAGAACAGGTTGAACCACTTTCTTTTCCATACAACTATAAACTATGATAAAAGTTCATCAGCAAGCACTGATTACCCCATGTTGTAGCAAAAAAAAAAAAAAAAAGAGAGAGAAAAAAAGCGACCAAATCATGTGCTCATGCGATCTGAGAAAGTTAGTCGCAAAAAAGCGACCAGTTGAAAGTATGAGTCTGGAGCCCTGAAATAATTGTAAAGTAATTGAGACTCAAAACCACATTGTAGGTTTAGACAACAAGCTTCTGCTGATTGACAAGTAACCAGTTCAACTGCAGCAACCATCCATCAAATTCAAACCTTAACTGTACTTACTGTTGCTTTAAAAGCCTTTTCCAAGTTGACATCATCTTTATTCCAAACTCTGACGACCTACAACACAAAAAGCATTCCTAAATCAAGTTCTTAACATGTGAAATTGAATCAGTCTTATGGGGAACATCGTGTCTGTCTTCTTACCTTGTCATCTGTAACGACCACATATTCCTGGGACTGCGTGTTAAACACAGCGGGGCAAGAGATCATCTGTCCCTGTTTCACTGACCAACTGCCCGTAGGCCTCTGATCAGACACCTAGTCATCAGAAAACGGTTAAACAGTAATACAGATAAATATACAGTAAATACATAATGGATTAATAGCATATGATGCTGCTGGAGAAATTCCTGGAGTGTGACGGAGTGATTTTAGCACTTTGGTTTAACGTTACACGCTGTAGTACCACGTGCGACAGGTTCTCATTAGACAGTATTTATATCTAACTCCTTTTACCTTATAAACGGTAATAAATCTCGAAGAGTCAGTGACGAGGACATGGTCGATATCTCTGCCCTGTTCAACTCCCAGAATCCCTATATTAGAGGAATTTTGCACTGTTCCAACTCCACACAACGTGTATCCTTCATACAGCGATGCCATGTTTCTCCGTGATTTCTTCTATCGCGAGACTCGTCCCACCGTAAACCCTTCTTCTTATTATTCTTTCCAGTTTAACGGCGGTTGGCATCCAGCTTATTGGTGCATTACCGCCCCCTTCTGCTCCGGAGTGTGGATCAGATAATAGGTTATCTATTCCCTTTTCCCACTAAAACTTACACATCACTCACATTGTCCCCTCACATTAATATCCACACACACACCACACATCATACATCAAATCCTGCTTAAAACCCCTGCTTCCCTTAAAAAAAGTCATCAAAATTCTACCCTGTGCCCTATTTACTGTGCTTAGTAACCCTTGTAATGTGATCTCCTGCACCCCAATCTCCCTTAGTTTATTCTTCATTACCTGCCTCTGTGTTTCCACCGTAAACCCAGAACGAGAGAATTTTTTTACGCAAACTTTGCAACACTGCCTCGCTGTGGTTTGGAGTTTATAATGATCTTAAAGGGATAGCTCGATAGCCTGTGGAGCGAGATACATTCATGGCCAAAAGTTTTGGAAGTGACAAATTTTGTGTTATGCAAAGTTTGCTGCTGTTGGGTGTTCATTCACATTGTTTCTAGATTATTGTGTAGAGTGATCAGATGCATTTAAAATAATTACTAAAAGCTTCATTGGGCAAAAAATTAACTTTTCACAAAAAAACAAATGTCACTGTTTTTTGATCCTGACACAAAATGACCAGCTAACATTAATTGACTAACCATATCAGCAGCGCATGTGAAAGTGGCAGCACATGTGAAAGTGTGAATGAGTACTAGTCAGGTAAAATCACTATCATACTAATTAGACTGTAAGAGCAGACTGATTGCTATAAAAGGAGGGAAGAAGCACTTCCCATCATGGTGTTCTTGATAGCAATGGTTACCTCCAAAGAAACACGTGCAGCCATCATCGCTTTGCATCAAAATGGCCTCACATGCAAGGAAATTGCTGCAAAGTATATTGCACCTGAAAGAACCATCATCAAGAACTTCAAGGAGAGAGGTTCGACTGCAGTGAAGAAGTCTTCGGGATGTCCTAGAGTGTCCAGCAAGCGCCAGGACCGTCTCCTCTGAGGAGTCAGCTACGGAATCGTGTCACCACCAGTGCAGAGCTTGCTCAGGAATGGCAGCAGGTTGGTGTGAGAGCATCTGCACGCACAGTGAGGCCAAGACTTTTGGACAACGGCCTGGTGTCAAGAACAGCAAAGAAGACACTTCTCTCCAAGAAAATCGTCAAGGACAGACTGAAGTTCTGCTGGAATTACAAGGATTGGACAGCAGAAGACTGGAGCAAAGTTATTTTCTCTGATGAAGCTCCCTTCCGACTGTTTGGGAGAGCTGGAAAATCGATTGTTCGGAGAAGAAAAGGTGAACACTACCATGAGTCCTGTGACATGCCAACAGTGAAGCATCCTGAGACTATCCATGTGTGGGGTTGCTTTTCAACAAAGGGAGTGGGCTCTCTCATAATTCTGCCCCAAAACACTGCCATGAATAAAGAATGGTATCAAAACGTCCTGCAGTGACTTCTTCCAATGATCCATGAGCAATTTGGTGATGATCCGTGCATTTTCCAGCATGATCGAGCACCATGTCACAAAGCAAGAGTGATAAAGAAGTGGCTCGAAGATCATTACATTGAAATTTTGGATCCGTGGCCAGGCAACTCCCCGGATCTCAATCCCATAGACAACCTGTGGTCAGTCCTCAAAATGCGAGTGGACAAGCAGAAGCCCACAAATTGTGATCAACTCCGAGAACTAATAAGGCAAGAATGAATCGCCATCAGTCAGGATTTGGCACAGAAGCTAATATCCAGCATGCCAGAGCGAATTGCAGAGGTTATGAAGAACAAGGGTCAACACTGTAAATACAGTGTTTTATTCGTAAAAACATTTTGCCAATAAAAGCCTTTAAAACGTATGATATGCTTATCATTGTTTTTCAGTATACCATTGAAACGTGGAAAAATAATCTACAAATACTGAAGCAGCAAACTTTGCAAAACACAAAATTTATGTCACTGCCAAAACTTTTGGCCATGACTGTATATATAATGTCAATACAGGGGTTGACATAGCTTTTTTCTAGTGGTTTTCCCAAGTTACTAGCCATTCAACATTTCATGGGCCACAATTTTGTTCCTGAGAAATTACGTTTAACATGATTAAAGTTGACTATGGCATGCTAAAGTTTACTTAAGTGAGATTTACAACCCTTTTAAAGGCAAATGACCACTGAAATGTATAACACTAATGGTCATTATCAAATAGCCTATTTAGCTCTGATGAAGCTGTGTGTAAAGCTCCTTTTTTATGAAAACATGCAGTCTATTAAGACATAAGAAGAGTAGCTTCTTATCACATAGTTATAATAAATGTGGTGCAGGGGTGTATTAGTGTGAAAACCAAATCCGCCGTCTTCCATAATTTCCTCAACGCACGCGCTTGTGCTGACACGGCAAGTATAAACCAGGCTCTACACCTGAAGCATTCGCACTGAAAGCGCCTCTCTTCACGTGATCAGTGAAATCTGAATCCTGCTACAGTGTGCCTCGCTGTATGCAGCAGACGCTTTGGAGCAGGGCAGACCATGCACGCACAAATGCGACCACGTCAAATTTGAACTCGCACATTCTCAAAAAATGGTCGCAGTCAATATGCGGATGTCACTCCCGAAGCTTTACAGCGTGCAGCTGTCACTGGTCCAACAGCATCATGAAAAACAAAATTTATTCAAATTCGGAATGAATTAGCCAGCGCTCTGCGCTCCCTATAATAATTATAAAGCTGTCATTCATTTCAGTTTATCGCGATCTCACAAAAATTCGTTATAATCAATGAGGCTGGACCATAGGAGGGGTTTAGAGAGAATCTTAGAACTGCTTCGAACAATCGTTTGAGAATCGTTGGAAAATGAGGTGATATTAAATGCATATTTTGAGAAAACGAAAGGGTTGTTTGACCTTGCATGCATGTAAACCTATTGTAGGAGATTCCCAAAACAATACTAGAAATCTTAGAAATAATAGGGGGCATAATAGGGGCACTTTAAGATCATACAAATATCGAAGCTAAAGGTTTTCATAAAGCATGGTAGCCAAATCAGTAGCGCGAGAGGGCGCGTCTGTAGGCCTATAGAGAAGATAAAAAAGGTAGAAATTAAATTTAACATTTATATACATTAAAAAACAAGCTTGATATAATTTTTACGATTTTTAATGAAATACAAATTTTGAATAATGAAAATTAGTTTGGGTCCGTGTATCGTTCGTTTTTTGATTTAATATTGAAAGTAGAAAAATGAGAAAACGGCTCCTTTTTCGTTTTTTCGTTTTTTTTTCCAAAACACGAAAAACGAGAATTCAGCTTAAATTTTCGTTTTTCGTTCAGGGGTAGAAAAATTAATAAACAGCTTACTCGATTTCTACACGTGGGCGGGAATTAAACACCCCTTTCTGCTGATTGGTCAGCCGAAGATCAAACCGTGCTGTCATCAGTTCTTCTGCAGTATCACGCAGCAGAATAATAGTCATCCACTGCTGCAGTTGTATGGATTCTTAACGCATCTATTGCAACTACATTTAATATTTTTTCATCAAACAAACAGGCTAATGAATAGCTCGACACAACTCATACCGGGGCAGAGTCTAGACAAGGCTTTCTTCTGTGTAGATATAAATTCTATTCTTTGCATCAGCAGACAGGGCTTTCTTCTGTGTAGATATAAATTCTATTCTTTGCATCAGCTGGGCATGGCAGGGTATGATATGACAGCTCTCATAGCTTACCCTGCTCACCCAGTAAGTCTGTTTGTTTGTTTAATTCATGAATTAATTCGTTTCAAAATAAATATTTTAAAAAAGGAGACAAAAAGGAAGGAATAATAAATTGGCTTGGGTATATATAGGCCTATAATGTTCACACAAGAACTGTCATTTTGACTGACAACCGGAGAACAACAGATATTAAATAGCCTACTGTTAGAGTTTTATAATGTAGTCTTGTGTTTTATTAAAATTGATTATAATTGATATCTCAAAAGGATATGCACTTGTGCGCGGCGTGTGCTACTGCGCACTCGCACTGCAACGCAAGAGTTTCATAAAATATAATAGCTTGCCATTTCGGTTTGTTTCTCACCAAACCCTCAGTATACCTTCAGAATGCTTGGAATATACGCCACGAGATGCATAGGATTATTTTACGACAGATATGCATCCGCCTCAAAAAAAACAAAAACAAAAAAAAACTAAAGTCACCATTCTCTGCCATTAAATTGGCAAGTGCGAGCAGGACATTTTTGTGTTATTAAGTAAACTCGTACAGGGGCAGAGTCTAGACAGGGCTTTCTTCTGTGTAGACCAGTGGTTCTTAAAGTGATAGGGGGTCCGAGAAATAATTATGCCTTTGAAAAATAAAGAGAACAACAGAATGCGCTGCTTTAGCTCCTTGAGCATCTTACTGGCACATGCCACAAACATGAACCACAGGGAATACTTGTCTTTTAAAAGGCTTAATTTAGATTATTTGACGTTAAATGCACCATATAAGTCACTTTGGCATAAATCACAGTAGGTCTCTTTCTATGGCTCTGCATGCGCTGTATTAGGTCTCGAATAAATTCAGATTTTTATTTACATTTTATCATTTTGCAAACGCTTTTATCGTTTTTGACCTACATTACATATCTACACGATTACATTACATTACAATGTAAACAATTTAATGTCTAAATTCAAAGTTTTATTTATTTATTTATTTATTTATTTATTTTTGAATAGCCTGCATTTCATATGTTATCGCCAGGATGCACATCAGTGCTGTATCCATTATTATAAGGATACAACAAGCACTGTAACATGATTGATATGCAGACGTTGCACTGTAGCTAATTATTATACGAGTTAGCCTATATGTCTTTTTGATTGTATCCGTCATGTTTATTTAAATTTAATTGGGGATATTAGATTAATGCCGATCCATTTTGTTTATTTCGATTTTATATTATTCTAATATGGCTATTACAAACATTTTCAATAATAATAAAATAATTAAAAAACATTAAATTTATATTAAGACTTTACCTCTCTAATAACGCCTCAGTCAGGTCAAAGAAATGTTTTATTAGTTGCTTTTCATACTATCGTCTGATACAACACTCAAAAAAAGTCTCCCGAGAGAGAGAGAGAGAGAGAGAGAGAGAGAGAGAGAGCGCTCTCGTAACGGAATGGATGGTTTGTCTTTAGCCATTTATAATTGGTCTATCTATCTCTAGGGATTTCACTTGCATATAGCCTAACACACAAAAAATAGAAATGGTCATCTTTGTGTTAATATGCCTTGTCCCCAACCATGTGTGTATTTATTT